GCAAAATCTCAAAAATGTCCAACAAACATTGATGATCTTGAGAGTAAAAATTTTAAATAGCTTGAAGATCTCTTGAAAGAAACATACGGGCAAGCCACTTAGGGAAACCAAAGTTCAAGGTGTCCTTCATAGGTCAGAATTAAGTTTGATGCCCTTCATTACCTACTTCAGACAGCTGCTGGGAAGATTCAATAACAAAAGTAAAAGCACTTTATCCATTGCAAAGTGCTGTATATTTGTGAATTCTCCTTACCCTTCTAGTTATTTTTGGACAGTGAGTTTAAAAGAAAAAAAAAACAGGAGAATGCCCCATCTGGAAATTGGAAGTAACACTACATGGTTATGGCAAAGGGTCAGTGAAATGATGTTATCTGTGAGAAACCAGGAACTGGGAAGCACTCTACAAATCCTCTTACAAGATAGACCAGGGCACTTCTGCCAATGCCTCGCTTTGCAAGATGTATTTGTTTGTTTGTTTCTCCAATTTTTGTCTCCTCTCCTTGTTAAGTTTAGTGGCCCCAAGCAGGTACAGGTTTCTTTGCATGCACGTATTTTACTGATTTGAGGTAACCCATTGATTGAGTGGTGTTTAACTTCTGCTTGTTCAGACTGGCTTCTGGCGGCTGCTTACGGTGTTTTTAAGTAAGCCATGGTTTATTTAGAAACATCTCCCAAAGGGGGACAATGTTTAAAGGGAAAGAATCTACAGAAACTCTACCTTCTCCCAACCCAGATTTGGATATTTGTGGAAGTTCAGAGTTGACAACATAGAGCCTGTGTTTAGAATTTAAGAAACTCTTATATGGCCTTCTAACCTTTCTCCCTACTAGACATCAATCATATAAACATTTATCTGTCCCCAACTTGGCAATCTATATCTCACATGTACAGGCTCCTCACACACAACCTCTGAACTCATAATAATGCAACCTCCTCTGATGCCAAAAATACCTACCACTCACTCACTTTGTCCTCTAGAAAAAGTGACAGTAATTATAGTTCAGAGATTGCAAACCGGTTGCCTGTGCACTGAGTTTGGCCTCGTACATGTTTTATTTGGCACCCACAAGCTTTTTATCTGTTTGTTTTTGTTAGTAGTTAATATTTCCTTATTACAAAAATTCGCCCAAATTTTTGCCTGGATCGCCAGCTTCTCTTGAAAAATGGAATGAACCAGTAACACCAGTAACCATTCAGTCATGATCACCTAGAACTTCACAGCAACTAGGCTTGGGCTTGCCAGTTCTTCCAGCTATGTTGTTGACTTTTCTATCACCAAGTAGCTTTCTATGGGCACTGAGTAGACAGCCCTACACTTAAAGCTAGTGCCTTCAAAGTGACCAGCTTAATATCGTGGGATGGAGAGGAGATAATTGTGATTTGGCTGGTGTACTCAGTGACAGGATGTGTGAGTGGATAGCCACTACCTTGATGGAACCTCTCATTTGAACCAGAAGGTAAACATTTAGGGCAATGTACATTGAAGCCCCTAAGGCTCTTTCAAATGGTTTCCTGAGCTCACATAACTTCACGTTTTTCTACGTGAATTATCAGTCCCTTCCCCTCCACTCCCACTACCCGTATCTTTGAGACACGGAATGTATGTGCAACTTCTTTACCTGCCCTAAAGGACCTAGCAAAAAGTGGAGTCCATAGTAGAAGCTCAGAAACTATGAATTAAGCACTCTATCCAATGATAAATGCATCATGAAGTCTTTCTTTACTTTTCTTGACTGTGACAAATGCTAGGTTCATGGAATGAGAACTGAGGGTTTTGATGATTCACTGTGTCCTCATATTAATAGATTAATTAACTAATTAATTAACTGGTTTGTTGTGTCCTTGGATGGATAACAGGATGCCATTAATTAGCAGGGTACAAGTAAGGGAAGAAAAGAGGACATTTCTTAAGTACCAGAAAGTGCAATTAAAAAGTGATCATTGAATATCAATATCTTGTGTAACCTATAATGAAAAAGAATATGAAAAGGAATATATGTATGTATATGTATGACTAAAACATGATGCTGTACACCAGAAATTGACACAGCATTGTAAACTGATTATACTTCAATTTAAAAAAAAAGCAATCATTACTAAGGGTTGATGGAAGGAAGTAGCTGGGGAGAAGAGGCTAAATTCTATTTATTTTAGTATGTCAGATCACCAGGGTATGGGAATTTTCTGAAAGAACCAAAAGGTCCAGGATTCTGGGAATCTTCTGGAAAACAAACCCCCCTCCTGGTTTCCTCATTGCCGCTTCACTCTATCAACCTACCCCTGAAAGGAACAGGATGAGAAGAGAGCTGGGTAGAGTAGCAGAGGTAAGAAAAAGCAGTTGAGGTAAAGGGAGGTTTTAAACTGAAAATGGAGGGAAGGGGAAAATATCCAGCCAAAAAATATAAATGAGTTATTACAAGGGACACCATATGTGACAAAATAAGAACAAGAGAAGCATTTAGTCACTGACAGAGCAGAATAAGTTGGGGAAAGGATAGAAATAATGGGTGTGGCTTCAGTGGTACATACTTGTAGTAGTGAAAATTTCAAACTTCAGTCTTTAGCAGAAAGGGGTAAATACGATGGCCAAGGTATCATGAAGACTTAGTGTGGAAGAATATATGACATAGAGTTGAGGTCAGGATAGAGAGAAACAAATACCATTATATTGAGAGTGTAAATCATAGGCCATCTGACCAGAGAAAGGAAAGAGTGATGCAATCACAATGCTTAGACAAGAGTTGTTTTCTCACTGATGACTCAATTTAACAATATAAATGTAATTTCTCACTCTCCACCCCACCCTCCCACTTCCCACAAGATCTTATTGGTCTCTTTCTCTTGACTCCTTGGTGCTATTCTTTTGTAAACCTCTCAAGGGTGGCGCAACCTTGAAACTCCCATAAGTTATCAAGAGGATTCAGGTAAACTCTGATTGCAATGAACTGACTTTTCAATTGACATACAGAGGTTCTATCCGTTAGTACTAACTTATTGACTAGAGAATTGAAGAGGTAGTGGAATAGATGTGTGTATATTTGGGAGAATGGGGAGTACCAAAGGATTGTTTAGACAGTTTCCCAAACTTAAATACCCACTGGAGTCAGATGCCCCATCTGAAGGGAGTAACTGCTAGTCCATTCCAGCAGATTACTGCCATGTGAGGAGATGTTACCAGATGTTCTGGTTTAAAAAAAAAAGAAACTTGGATTTTTATTTGAAATTTTCTTATTTTTAAATATTATCAACTAATTAAAAACATTTTTTGCATATATATTCTAATTTCTTTATTGACTTTTTTCTTAAAAAGTTTATTTATTTTTTAACAATATAACATTTTTTGTTGATTTATAATCATTTTACAATGTTGTGTCAAATTCCAGTGTTCAGCACAATTTTTCAGTTATACATGAACATATATATATTCATTGTCACATTTTTTTCTCCATGAGCTACCATAAGATCTTGTATATATTTCCCTGTGCTATACACTATAATCTTGTTTATTCTACAATTTTGAAATCCCATCTATCCCTTCCCACCCTCCACCCCCTTGGCAACCACAAGTTTGTATTCTATGTCTATGAGTCTGTTTCTGTTTTGTATTTATGCTTTGGTTTTTTTTTGTTTGTTTTGTTTTGTTTTGTTTTAGATTCCACATTTGAGTGATCTCATATGGTATTTTTCTTTCTCTTTCTGGCTTACTTCACTTACAATGACATTCTCCAGGAGCATCCATGTTGCTGCAAATGGCATTATGTTGTCGGTTTTTATGGCTGAGTAGTTTTCCATTGTATAAATATACCACCACTTCTTTATCCAGTCATCTGGATAAAGATGGACATTTCGGCTGTCTCCATGTCTTGGCTATTGTAAATAGTGCTGCTATGAACATTGGGATGCAGGTGTCATCCTGAAGTAGGGTTCCTTCTGGATATATGCCCAGGAGTGGGATTCCTGGGTCATACAGTTAAGTCTATTCCTAGTCTTTTGAGGAATCTCCATACTATTTTCCACAGTGGCTGCACCAAACTGCATTCCCATCAGCAGTGTAGGAGGGTCCCCTTTCTCCACAGCCTCTCCAGCATTTGTCATTTGTGGATTTTTGAATGATGGCCATTCTGACTGGTGTGAGGTGATACCTCGTTGTAGTTTTGATTTGCATTTCTCTGATAATTAGTGACATTGAGTATTTTTTCATGTGCCTAAAACTTTGAAAAACACTAGGTGGGCCATAGCAACAAAACCACTTCCACAACCACCAAGGGGTGAATTCTAATTTAGATGGTAGATGGAATTCATAGTAGAGCCTTGATTTGGTGATTTAAACTAAATCTGTCTCTTGGTCCATTCAGAATGGGTTTGGTGTCAGCTTGGTGGGTATGAGTACTTCTCCCAAATGGTAGTCTTGCATATTGATTTGTATCCTATAAATGTAACTGAGAACCTTCTCAATAGTAAAAATGATAAGTAGACTCTCTGCTTGGTTAGTCCAACAAGTAACTGAAAAATCACTTGGTCAGATTATGAGATGTGGAAAGAAAGTAATCAGAAGGTAGTTCCTTTTTGGTGCCCTTTTTGTGTTCGCCAGATCATGAATCCCTTGAGGGCCATGGAAAAAACTTTGGATTTGGTTTTAAAAGTGGCAGGAAGCTATTGGAGACTTGTGAGCAGGGAAGGGGTGTGATCCAACTTAGTATTCTCAAAGTGACACTCTAAGAAAGCTGACAGGAAAGCTTTGTCCATACCTACAACCTGGAGACTTCTAGAAAACCTGCCTTTCCTGAACTCAGCCTCTTCCCCTACCATTTGTTCTTCCTTAGGAATATATTCTTGCTCCTCCTCCCCTCCTCCCATCGCCAATGGAGATGTTTTCCATGGTTCTCGGGCCATGTATCCTAAGAAACTTAGAGCCTATATCATCCTGAATGTGTTATCCAAGGGTAACCAATGCCTTTTGTGACTGAACTAACTTCCTTGTGTTCTTGCCTGGCCCTCAGATACATGACAGAGATAGAGCCTTCCAGATACTGGATCTTCTCGACTGAGAAGACAAGTGATACAGTCTTGCAAATTGATCTAATTACTCAACACTATGCTTCTATCTTTCAGAAAATACTGAAGGAAGGACCACTGCTGAAGAACTGTAACTCCTTCAAGAGATGGAAGCTTAGATATTTTCTGGTTCGAGGACAAAGGCTCTGCTTTGCACACCATCCTGCGGTAAGAGAATATATATAGTGTGTGTGTGTGTGTGTGTGTGTGTGTG